CTATAAGTTTGATTATTTTTTCTTAATTTTATTTTTTTTATTTGACAGAGTGAGAGAGCACAAGTAGGAGGAGCAGCAGAGGTAGAGGGAGAAGCAGACTCCCCACTGAGCAGGGAGCCCAATGAGGGGCTCAATCCCAGGACTCTGGGAGCATGACCTAAGAGGAAGGCAGATGCTTAACCAACTGAGCCACCCAAGCGCCCCTTGAATTTTTTTAAACAAAAACTAGGTAAAAAAATATTAGCTAACTTATGACATTAAAAAGCACTAAGAATTCAAATCTAGCAGTGTATGAGAAATAATTGTGACTAAGTTTAATTTTTCATAAGTGAAAGGATGTTTCAGCATTTAAAAAAAGTTACTGTAATTTATCACATAAATGGCAAAGAACAAGAGACATTGTATGATCAAGGACAAAAAAACATTTAATAAAACTATTTTTTTTCTTTTTTTAATGGAATCAGCTTTAGCAGACTTAATATACATATTTTTTTTTAGCTTGATAAAGCCTTTATACTAAGCACCTGTGGCAGATATCATTCTTTGTGGAACAGAGGTTTAAACTCATTCCTTTAATGGTTGAGAACAAGACAAGGATGCCTGCATTACTTCTACCTTTTAGCATATTGCCAGATATCTGCCCAATGCAGCAAGATAGACCAACAAAAGTAGAAATATTGAAATAAGAGAGATAATTGTCATTATTTCTAAGTAAAATCATTTATATAGAAAACCAAAGAGAGTCAGCAGAAACTATTAGTAGCAGTACAAGGTTTCAGCTAAGTTGCCAGCTTGTAAGAGCAAAATATAAAAATCAATAGCTTTCCTCTGTATTGGGAATAACCAATTATAAACTGTGACGATGATAAGATACCATTTATAATAGTGACATAAACTAAAAGCTATTTAGGAATAAATCTAAGAAAGAATTCATAAAACATATAAGGGAAATTTAAAACCCTATTACAAGAGTTTTATTAGGGTATTATAGAACATAAATGCAGCATTCATAAATGGATTGATTGAATATTGTGAAGGTGTTGTAGTTCCTCCATTAAAATTTAAATTCAGCGTAATTCCAATCAACATCTGAGGAAAAATTTTTTTCAAGGGGCAGAGTTGAATTGAAAATTTATACGGCCGAATAAAGAAGGATCCTCTTTTTATAAGGCATTAACAAGGCATTGCCAACAGGAGTTGGCAAACTACAGCCCAGAAGCCAAGTCCAGGCTGTCACCTGTTCTTATGAATAAAGTTTTATTGGGACACAGCCATATCCATTTATTATGTATTGTCTCTGACTGCTTTTATAGTGCTGTAACAGGATTGAGTGGTTACAACAGACAGTGTGGCTGGCTGAATCTGGCCTTTTAGAGAAAAAAATTGGCACTCCTGTTCTTCAGCATCTGGCATAGAATCAGAATATCATAAGTATAGACTCATTCCTTTATACATAAGGGGATTCGGTGTAATTATTCCCAGCAATTGGTGCTAGGAAAATTATTTCACAAAAGTTAAAAAAAAAAAAAAGGCATTACATCCCATAAGCAAATTTCCAAGTGGATTGAGTACCTAACTATTAAAAATGAAGCTATGAAGCTGATAGACAAACATTTAACAATATATTTTTGTAACCTCATAGTAGAGAAGGATTTGTTACATAAGACTCACAGCATAAACCATAAAAAGAAAATTAAATATATCAGAAAATGCTTTTTGTCTAATGGATCATATAGGAAAACTAACAGATGGTGAAAATGTAATTGTCATGTTTAAAAGACCAAGATCAATATTTAAATATACAAAGGATTTTGGAAAATCAGAAAATAGAAGGGAGGAAACCCATACAAAAGAGGGCAAAGTATGAATTGGCAATACAAGAAAGAGAAATATGCACACATACATGTCACTTTGGAGACAGAAAAATTAAGGGATTCCATTTTGTCTATCATACCAGTAAAAGCTAGGAAATCTGATAATCCCAAGTGCTGGCAAGGATGTGAGAAAATAGAAATCTGCACCTATTGCTTCTGGGAATTACAGTCCCAGAGCGCAAACTGGTGCATTTATTTTAGAATATTCAGATACCAAATAATGGGACTCTAGATACTCAGGGTAATATATGTAAGGTGGTCATCACAGTGGTATCTGTGGTACAAGATGGGAGACCAGCTAATTCTTCAGCACTAGAGGGACAGGTAAGGAAAATTATAGTGTAATACAGTGAGAGGGAATAAGCAGTGGGAAGGAATGCATTACATCTACTTATAGCAGCATGAATGAGTCTCTGAAACAGTGTTGAGGAAAAAAAAGGGAAAATGGTATTTAAAGCATGATGCAATTTATACACAAATTTTAAAACCATGCAAGAGCCCTCTATATTTTTGACATGCAAAATATTTATAAAAATGCAATTAAAGGGCAGTCCGGGTGGCTCAGCAGTTTAGTGCTGCCCTCAGCCCAGGGTATGATCCTGGAGGCCTCGGATCGAGTCCCACGTTGGGACTGCATGGGGCCTGCTTCTCCCTCTGCTTGGGTCTCTGCACCCCGCACCCCCCCCCGTGTGTGTGTGTGTGTGTGTGTGTGTCTTATGAATGAATAAATAAAATATTTTTAATGCAATTAAAATGATATGTTAATTATGAAAAAGTGAAGCTTTGTGGTGGGAAGAATGCGGCTGGGTGTAGAGGATGAAGGAAGTAATGGTAAGAAAAATGAAAACCAGATGAAGAGCCTTTCATGGGTCCATAATAGGAGCTTATGAACTTGAGCCTGTGTTTAAGTCCATTCTCTACCATCATCCTTGAGAGGAAACACATTCTGGGCACATTACTCCTTCCAGCATTGTTAGATCCAGGTTCTCACATAATGTCATCAGGGACGGGTCTATCTGGGCTCTGCCAGCATCAGTTTTGGCTCTGGATGTCAGGCAGACACTCTTTAGTGTAACCTCTAGTTGTTCCGGTTCACGTTAAAATTGGCAATTCAGCAAGAAGAAAGTTCTTTCCCTATAGTGTCAGCAGTAATCCTCTCATGGGTCTCCTTTCTTTCAGTGGCTCATTTTTTGTCCTGTGTCCGCTCCTGAACCGGTCATGTGAGAGAAGCCTTAGGATGCCTGGATCACTTTCCTGTCCCTAGAATCAGGCATGGGAATAGTCCCACAAACAGAATGTAGTGGGATAACCCAAAGAAAACTCAGGGTGGTATGGCCAGACATACAGCAAGTAGATACTGGGCAGGCAAAAACAAAATAAAGAAAAAAAAAAAGCCAAAAAAACCCCAAACAAACGAAAATAACCAAGAACTGCAGTGGAATTGAATCAATGCTGTTTGCAGAATGACTGAAATGAAATGCCATGTTTATTCTAAAGAAAAACAAGGGGAAATGAGTAAAGGTTAACTCTAAATATCTGAAGCACGGCCACTTGCATGCTCCTTGTTTTATATGGCCCCAAGGCATTAATTCATGAGAAATAAATAGACATGGTAGGAGGGGCAGCTATGTAATTGGCCAGAGTTGTCTTAGAAGCATTGGGTAGTACATGTCCCACCAGTAGGTCTACTCAAGCATAGGCTAGCCAGCTAAATTGGCAAGGATTCTGTAGGGAAGGACCTAAGGATTGAGAGAATAGTTGGGTTTGATCATGATTCTGAATCATCTGGACATCTTATTCAAACATAGATTGCTTGGTGCTTCTCCCAGAGTTTCTGGTTTGGTAGGTCCAGAGTAGAACTTTATAATTTGCATTTCTAATTAGTCCCCAGGCGATGCTGGTGTTGCTGGTTCAGGAAACACACCTTGAGAACCACTGGGTTAGAGGAGTTTCAAAATCCTTACTGGCCTTTCATGAACTAGTTGTAAATGTTTTGAAAACCAGTATTTGTAGCATTGAGGAAAATCCTCCATTTTATGGCTCTGTCCATGAAATGTGTTAGGTTCTTGCCATGTGGGTACTTTTGAGGACAGTAGGTGACATTTGCATGGCTCTCTGTATCTTTTGAGTCATTGAGAAAATTAGGATCATTAAACAGTTGCACATTTATTATTATGCTTTATAAAATTGTCATCCATCCTTTTTGTCATCTTCTGTTTTTCCATGGGTTGATCTATTTTCACAGTTTTACAGTGGGGTGGTTTCTAAATTAGAAAAATGAATGGTTTTCCAAGGAGGGTGTGTCTTATTCAGAAAGTAACTTTGCCAGGTATAAGCACCTGACTGTTGGAAAATCATTACCTCATACCCCAGGTGCCAAGTGCCAAATATTGCTTCAACTACTTCTCCACCCCCATGGCTTTCCCCAAAAGAGAGGATCTGGAATATTTTACATGCCTTCCTGCCTCCTGGCTCTGCATCACCAGGAGTTGTCCTCATTCTTGAACTCTGGTTTGCCTTTTCTTTTTCTCATTTTTTCCCCTTTAATTTTGGAATTTTTGCTATAATAGTTCTCTCAGAGTGCTTATGTTTTTGTATTTGTAGGCAAGGTCAATTGGTGTTTGTACTTTTTCTGAATTGCTTTTATATAAATAGAAAGCCATTTGAGAAAAGCATTTAAGAATTAAATGGTTTATAGTCGATGGCTAACAATTAAAAAATTTCAGCTTAGCAAAGATGATGAGATGAATGGGTAAAAATAACCTGACAGGTAGGACTTAGTGGATTTGGGTTAAGGTGACAACTTGAATCTCAGAGGGATTTAAGAAGACTGTTTTGAGGGGAAAAAAAAAAAAAAAAAAGACTGTTTTGTTGTCCATGTGTAAGCTTTTGCATAAAAACAAGCCGATCAAGGCAGTACCAGGTAGGGAGAGGAGAGCACGTTTTAGGAGGACTTACCCAGCATCCATCTTAGTGGATGTTAAATGGGGTAACAGGTTCAATGACACCTTCTTTGCAACTAAGAATCTGTAGTCATGGAATCTGCTCTCTTTAAAGTTGTATACACTCTGAGTTTCTCATCTGAACTTGATACAAGCTCATTTCCTCAATTATTTTCTCTTTCAGGCTTCAACCGTGAGGAAATGTCGTTCAGATTTGGTCAACACCTCATCAAGCCCTCTGTGGTTTTTCTCAAAACAGAACTGTCCTTTGCTCTTGTGAACAGGAAACCTGTGGTACCAGGACGTATCCTTTTTTTTTTTTAAAGAGAGGAAAAATAAAAAAGCCTCTGAACTTAACAGACCACAGGAATCCAGCACGGGGGTCCAATGTCCATCCTCAAGGGTAAATAAGGAATCCACCTTTCTCCCCCTTTGGAGAAACCAGGTAAGATGTTGCATTTATTCTGAATCCAGTTGGTGGCACCAGTAATATGCTTGATCAATGTTGCAGAACTTCTGAAAAGAGTTGCTTAGCAACCGTGGCTTTGGAGGTGAATTTTTACTTGACCTTTTCACTGTCATAGCTGTGTAAATAAATAGGTGCTTCTAAAGTGGGCCCAATGAATATCATGAGTGCTTTGTTTTCAGTTATCAATTGTGAATATTAATAGTAAGATAGAGATTGGGCGGCACTTTCATGTTATAGTAGTAGGGTATTACCTGAAGATTTGAAACTGACTGGGTGTCTTTACCACTTAGAGGTCCGTCAAGCAAATTTATACACATAAACATACCTATAAAACAGTCGTTTTCCTTTTAGGATCTGACATAGCATTTTTATTTTCTTGGAGAACATCACAACTTCTAGATCATGGTCTGGTGTCATTGGTGGTAGAGTTGTTTTATTTCTCTGTGACCACTGAGTTGTAGTCTTTCCTCCTACTGACTTCAGTGGAAGGTTTATTCTTTGCTGTGGGAGCAGCAGGAATTGGTGAAATGTTCTGGAGTTATTTTTATGTTGCTGAAAGTATCACTCGTGACTTGTGCATATGACTTTTGTACTGACTCTTCAGATTTTTTTTTCTCTTTTCTCTCTAATTTACTATGCAGAGAGCAACAAAGTATAAGATTTCATATTTTAAGATAATATGTATTAATACAAGATAATAAGTATTTTCTAAACTATGACATAATTTTACTTTAAAATAAATGTTTCTGTAATTCTGAATCTATAAAATGTCAAGATTCTTTCCAGAGTAAGTTATCTATAACATATATGTATTTTATATGTTATCTCTAATGTATATCTATATCTATATCTATATATTCCCCCCTCATAGGGATTTTCAGGGTGTTTGAGAACTTTAGGAATAATCTTCTTTCTTGGCCTTGTAACTGTTGCACGTTGAAAAAAAAAATACTGAAAATATACACCAAAAGATAATTGTGATTTTTATGAGAGATGCCCAAATTCATTGAATTTAATTTTAACTAAATAAATTTTGTAAATTTATAGAAGTAATTATCACAGCAGTACACTAATAAATGATATGTGAATGACTACTTGATATTTAACTCTTCTTTTAAATATATAAGCATAGTCTAAATTATAAGTACTCAATATTAGGAAATATTCCTCCATCGAAGTAAAAATAAAAACTAGAATGTTTCCAGAAGGTCCTCTAAAAGAGAACAATTTTAAAATTGTATACCAATTTTATATTGAATTCTTCTAAGAGACTCTGAAGTTCTTAAAATAACAGAAGCATTTTATTTTTTCATTTGATTTTGCTGCAAGTTTGTGTCTTTTTCCTCTGAGGAATTTTTTTTTTTTTCATAAAGAAAATGTTTGAGAATTCTGGAGTCAAAAGAATGTAGTTGAAATGCCATAGGTATCTGTTTGAGTGCCAGCTTTAGTTGACTTCTAGCTTCTATCAGAAGGGGACCTGGGATGAAAATGTGATTTTAGATGAACATGTTTTAACACCTTGGCCTGGAAAAATGTGAGCTTGCAGCGTTGTATTGACTTCTTAATGTTTAATAATGGAATGAATTTAACTTTGTGTTTTGTTTTGTTTTTACTTATATATTGATAGTAAGAAACCTGACTTTTCATGGTCTTTTTAACCCATTTGCCATATGTGATATGAGACCTGGATCATATGCATGTTGGTACTTAAGAATAGTTGTGGGGTCTGCTTCTAGAGAAATGCCTATACCGAACAGTGAGCAGTGAGTGACTGATGACGAGTTCTGTTCCAGATGGCTCTGGAATTGCCATTTTGGAAATGGGTCCTGGTCAGTTCTCATATCTTTGAGTAAATGCCAGGGACAAGGGGTATATTGTATTAAAATGAACAAACCTGAGTTTGTTTGGAAGGTAGCTAGAAGGAGCCAACCCTTTCTGGGGATAAAAGAACCAGGACGTTTTTATAATCTGTATACTCTCTGAGGCTATTTCATACCTGCAGGGTTTAAAGGGGTCTCAGGGCCAGTAGATAATGTTTTCAGACAATCCTTTTTATATGTTGACTTTGTGAGATATGTATAAATATAATATAAATATTATATATATGTTATTATTTTAAATTTTACTTTACATTTGTGATGTAAAGTTGGGTGGTAACTGTGAGAAGAATCTTTTTTTTTTTAATTTTTTTTTTTAATTTATTTATGATAGTCACAGAGAGAGAGAGAGAGAGAGGCAGAGACATAGGCAGAGGGAGAAGCAGGCTCCTTGCACTGGGAGACCGATGTGGGATTCGATCCCGGGTCTCCAGGATCGCGCCCTGGGCCAAAGGCAGGCGCCAAACCGCTGCGCCACCCAGGGATCCCTGTGAGAAGAATCTTAATGCGTTACTTGTTTGCCTGTAGGAAGCGGTACGCTTTTGTCTTGTGATTTGGGAATTGAAGCCGTGGCTAGCTCTGTCCTCTAACATTTCATAAAATAAACGGTGAGGTGTCTGCAGCGGCCTTTAATCTTGCTCCAGTGTTCTCTTCTGTCTGCCTTAGACAAGTCCCTTGGCCTGCAGCTCCTTGCACCCTTCCTGCTCCTGGGTTTCACTCTGACCCCCACCTCATTCTAGACCTCCGCTCCCATCCTCTCTTCCTCCTTCCTGTTCCCTTGCAAACAGACCACTAATGAATATAATGGATTTTTTTTTTTTTTTAGGACAAAGTCCAAACTCCTTAGCATAGTTTTAAAGGATTTTCATTCCCTTGACTCAGCCTTGCTCCTTTCCAACCATTTCCTGAAGACACATTGCATTTCCCCACCCACCCTACCCTTCATCCTGCCTGTCTCTTCATGGTGAGATCCTTACCATCCTTTTCCAGTTCACCTAAAATGTTTTGATACCTGCTGTGCCCTCTAAGGAAGAAAACCGTCCTTTCTGTGACCTTTGGCTCCTTATTTGCATGTTGATTCCTGTAGCGGTTTATTGCTGTGCTCCTACTCTGTTCCAGGCACGGGGCCAAACACTTAACCAGTCGGCCTCGAGTCAGAACTCTGTGCATTCTTGTCTGTCTCTGTGCTGAGTCCTTAGTTCCTGGAAAGGGATGGGGCAGGACCTGCCCGTGCACGTCTTTCTTTCCCTCAGCCTCCAAAGTACTATCTTGAGTAAATTTAAAGTCAAACTATGAACATTAGGAGCATATGGATCATTTCAATTGAGGTGGGCAACGAGGGTGCATGAAAATCCTGCCTTCTCAGTATTCCCAAACCCCAGCCAGATCTTGTTCCCATTTTATTCCAGATTTTTTTACTATCCTATTCAAACTGAAGTTTTTAAACTTGCCCTTCCTGCTTTGTCAGTTGCAATCTTGCTTACATTTCTGCGTTTCAAGTATACAGAGTTAAGCCTCAAACCTCAAAGTGGTGAATGAACTGATGGCAGATGGGGAAAGATTCTTTCCTTTTCTTTTCTTTTCTTTTCTTTTCTTTTCTTTTCTTTTCTTTTCTTTTCTTTTCTTTTCTTTCTTTTCTTCTTTCGTTGATTTTCAGTATACCAGTCTGTATCTTAAGGGCAGTATATTGCCATCTTTATGTGAACAGGAAAATTTTATTTTGTATTTTTGGTGATTTCTTTTTAAAAAGCGTATTCAGGTGGCCTTTGGGGAATGTGCCATTCATGAAACTTGTAAATGTCATCTTTGAACTTGTGTGCTCTCTAACATTTTGCTCCCTCTCCCCAACCCCTTTTTTCTTATGACTTTGCTCACTGACTTTTTCATACCTTTCAGAGGAGGAAAAGAACTGTCAGATCAGGGGCCAAAGATAAGCTTTTGAAGCAAGATATTTGCTGCATTCTCAAAAGACCCACTTCAATCCCTCCTTGTCCCCACCTAAAGCAAATACTTCTGTTTGTTGCAAACAGCATTTAAAGCTGATTGAATAGGCTTTAGCCTCTGTGGTGCAACACTCTAGAAGAGTATGTCAGGATGTCTTTAATCCATTAATTTCTTGTTACTGGAAAATGCTTTTCAGAGTGTCTTGGTGAGAGAATAGAAGAATTTTGGAGATTGCATCTTCAGAATTCTGCAGTGAACGTTTTATTCATGTACCTCAGTGCAGTCCAGCTATTGTTCATGGCTTAAATAAATTCAAACCCGTATAGTTAATACTTCTCCACACCCCATTCTCTTGCATTGTGCTATGTCTACCTCCCATCTCGAGCATGAAAAATGAATTTGAGCATTAGTGGAATCCATTTAGGGACTAGGGCTTTTATTGGAAATAAAATTATTCATTTGTTATGTCCTGTTGTTTTCAGCAGACTGTGTATTGATCTTTGGATTGCTATTCAGAATGGCATAAGGAGCTCTAACATAAGGGGAACATGGCAACATTTGCAAACGGGTTGAATGCGGCATATAATGACAGAGATAAACCTGGCTCGCTGGCCATACTATATTATACAAATCATTTGTCAACAGTTTGTTGAATCGGTTATTTAAAAAAGCAGACTTTTCCAAACAGGAGCATCACACACCGAATGTTATCAAGTCTAAACAGTGTTAGGATGAGGTGTTGAGGACAGCCTTATAAAGTGTGTTTGTGAGGAATTAGATCATGTAACTTGAAAGATATTCCTGCTAAATGTTTGGCACAATGGAAATTGTACTCTAAGGTCCCACTTTTATAGATAAAAAAGAATACTCTGGAAAATGCCTTTAAATATACAGTTTTACCTTTCCCAACAAGCAAGTTTTCTGTTTTTAGACCATTGCCATGTTGAGTACTCCTGAAGTGAATGAACAAATAATAAAAATAGCCTCGTTACTTAACAGTGCTTCTTACGGAAT